GCAATCCCTTGGCCTGAGTCTCCTTTCTTCCCTTCCCATCTCTTTCTCTCCTTTTTTTTTCCTTCCAGGACTCCAATGAACCATTAGAAATAGAGTTACTGTTTTATTATTTGATTTTGTTTTTGAGAAAGAGCCTCAAGCCGTTGTCCTGGGTAAAGTGCCATGGTGTCACAACTCACAGCTCACAGCAACCTCCAATTCTTGGGCTTAAGTGATTCTCTCGCCTCAGCCTCCCAAGTAGCTAGGACTCTAGGCGCTCATCACAATGCCTGGCTATTTTTTGGTTGTAGTCGTCATTGTTGTTTGGTAGGTCCAGGTTGGATTTGAACCCACCAGCTCTGATCTGTGTGGCTGGTGCCTTAGCTGCTTGAGCTACAGGCACCGAGCCAGAGTTTCTGTTTTAATGGAAGTACACCTTCTACCTTTAATCTACTTTTTCTTGTTAATTTTTTTTATTTCTTATAGCATAACTGTGTACATTAATGCAATCCTGGGGTACAGTGTGCTGTTTTCATATACATTTTGAAATACTCTCATCAAAATGGTTAACATAACTTTCATGTCATTTTCTTAGTTATTGAGTTAAGATATTCATACTCTGCTTTTAGAAAGATTCACTTGTACCCTTGTAAGATAAACCAAAGAGGTGACCCCACCCATTACCCTCCGTCTCCCCATCCACCCCCCTTACCTTCCCTCTCCCACCCCCTTCCCACATTCTAAGGCTATAATTAGGTTATGACATTCCTATAAAAGCTATGAATTAGTTTCAAAATAGGGCCATGTACATTGGATAATTTTTCTTCCATTCTTGAGATACTTTGCTAAGAAGAACATTTTCTAATTCCATCCATATAAGCATGAAGGAGGTAAAGTCTCCATCCTTCTTTAGGGCTGCATAGTATTCCATGGTGTACATGTACCACAGTTTATTGATCCATTCATGGGTTGATGAGCATTTGGGTTTCTTCCATGACCTAGCAATTATGAATTGGGCTGCAATAAACATTCTGATACAGATATCTTTGTTTAATTCAATTTTTGGTCTTCTAGGATATATACCTAATAAAGGAATTGCAGGATCAAATGGCAGGTCTATTTTTAATTCTCTCAGTGTTCTACAGATGTCTTTCCAAAAGGAATGAATTAATTTGCATTCCCACCAGCAGTGTAGAAGTGTTCCCTTTTCTCCACATCCATGCCAACATCTCTGGTTTTGGGATTTTGTGATATGGGCTAATCTTACTGGAGTTAGGTGGTACCTCAAAGTAGTTTTGATTTGCATTTCTCTGATGAATAAGGTTGGAGAGCATTTTTTCATATATCTGTAGGTTATGTGCCTATCTTTAGAGAAATTTCTATTCAAGTCCCTTGCCCACCCTGAGATGGGATCACTTGTTTTTTTCTTGCTAATACATTTAAATTCTCTGTGTTTCTTGTTAATTTTCAAAACCCCTTGGTTTGTATTTTGGTTGTTTGTTTATTACAAAATAATGCAAGCCCCTTGTGTAAAAACATTTAAGATAACATAGCCATCTTCAAAGACAAAATGGAGTTTTCCTGAGTCACTCACTCAAACATAACAACCACTTAATTGGATTACATATACGGGGTGGTTGTAAAATTCATGTGCATTTTAAAGTTGCACACTATTTTAAATCGTCCAACTTTATAACCACCTTGTATTGCCCCAATGTCTTTTCTATGTTTAAAAACATATTGAAGGGCATGAGGGTGATCTGGCTGCAGTGTCTGTCATTCCGTTGATCACCATGTTGATTCAGCTGGCTACGCAGTGTCCCCTTCCTTCCTTACTGCTCCCTGTGCATCCCTCCCAAAGCTATGCTCGGTCAAAGAGGAAGATCTTCCCTGATTGAGGAGGACCATTCTTCAGTCAAGGGTAGAGAAGTAGCTGCGTTCCCCTGATAAAACCTCCAGACAAGCTCTCAAAAAAAACTATTGAAAAAAAGCACAAATGCATGGGAAGTATGACTTACAGAAACATGCACAGAACATAAATATACCTGGGTTTAAACAAAACCTGGGTCAAAATAACAGAATGTTGAGAGCTCTCCTGACGTGGCTCAGCTTCCCATGCTGTATGTCATGGCCAGACTCAGCTCAGTTTGTCTCCCCCCAAAGTAACCACTATCTTGACTTTCATTCCAGTCATTGTCCTGCTTTTCTTTTCCTAGCCACATAGCTTCTTTTACCTCGTTTTTATTTTTAACTTTTATAAACAGTACCCTGTATCTGTCTCCTTTCCCTCCATGTTACGCATTTGAGATTCATTCGTGGTGTTGCCCTTACCTGTAATTCTAAGGTATAATGTGAGGATACCACAATTTACTTCTCCATTCTACTGGGGATGGACATTAGCTTATTTCCAGGTTTCAGTACACACAAAGCTTCTATAAACAATTTTGTGTCTCTCCAAATGCACACGTTGTATATATACTTCAGGAAGGGAATTATGGGTCATCAGTGAACTGTGGGAGGAAATGCCAGTTTCTAAGATGATTATACCAATTTAACTTCCAATAGCAGGGTATAAAGTTCCTGTTGCTCCAAATCTTTGCCAAGTCTTAGAATTTTCGATCTTGCTAAGTAAATTTTAGCTGTTTTGGTGGCTGCATAGTGACACGTGCATGTGGCTTTCTTTTGTCCTACTTGGAATATTAATGATCTTCAGAATCTTCATACGCTTATTGGCTTTTTTTGTGTGAAGTCTTTATCTGGGTCACTTTCTAATGTTTCTCCTGGTCTATCTGCCCTATTGATCTGAAAGTGTTTCTTATAGATCTGAGATACTGTGTTTTCATTAGTCATTTGTGCCACCAATGTTTGAAGGCAATCCTATTCACTCTGATTTGGTAATTAGAAGTTGTTAATTTTTACCTGATCAAATTCTCCAGTCTTTCCCTTTATGGTTATTACTGTTTCAAGTCCTACTTTAAAATGTCTTTCTTCTGAAAGATTTCTTTTTATTTGTTTATTTCATGGTTTTATTCATTTATTCAGTGTAGTCTATATAGAATTTGTTTTTAGTATAAGGTGAGGTTGGGATTAATTTTCTTTGCATTTTTCTTTGTCTTTTTTTATATGAATATTCAGTTATCTCAGCAGCCTTTGCTGAAAACATCATTCTTTCTGCAAGATTCTACCGACCTACCTTCATTGTAAATCAAGTCTATCTCTGGGTTACATATGTGTATATAAAAGAAAAGTAGCATGGATGTGCCATAATTTGTTTTTTCAGTCTTCTATTGATGGACATTTAGATTTTTTCCATTCCTTTAAGGTTACAAACAATGGTGAACCTTCTTATACATGTATTTTGTGGCATGTATGTCATGTAATTATACTTTCATTGGGCAAAAATTTAATCCCATAGGTTAACTAAATAGCAATGGCCGTCATTATGTACTATTTGCATTTGTGCAAGGAGTTCTATAGTTTCATAGAAGTTAATTTTTCTATAGTAAACCAACTTTTTCAAAGCTCTCTCATGGGCTAGGCATGGTGGCTCACACCTGGAATCCTAGCACTCTGGGAGGCCGAGGCAGGTGGATTGCCTGAGCTCATGGGTTATAGACCAACCTGAGCCAGAACAAGACCCTGTCCTTAAAATTAGCCGGGCCTTGTGGCAGGTGCCTGCAGTCCCAGCCACTTGGGAGGCTGAGGCAAGAGAATAATTTAAGCCCAAGTGTTTGAAGTTGCTGTGAGCTGTGACATCTCAGTACTCTACCAAGGATGACAAAGTGAGACTCTGTCTCAAACAAACAAACAACAAATACCTCACTCACGCCCAAAGAGGGAGAAAATTAAAAGTGTGTCTATTAGAAGTTGCCTGCACATTATTTAGCTTTGAGAGATTATATTATACACAGCACCACAGAACTAAAAGTTATCAAGACACTCTTAATGGTTTAGTGCTACATGACTAAAAGCGTGATCTGTGGACCAGCAAATCACACAAACATCAGGACCATGCCGTAGATAGAGTCTCCAGCTTTACACTAGCCCACTGGATCAGAATCTGCTTTTAACAACATCTCCTAATGCATATCCAATTTGAAGGCAATGTTTTAGTATACACATATGATGTAAAACAAAATGGAAGTTAATAACTCATTTTTTTTCTAATGAGGACATTCTCTGTGAATTTCCATGATGTGTGTAGAATCTACAAATAGAGAATTGGGACTGCATTGAAGGAGGAAAAGTTGGAGTGACTTCTCCAAGGTCACAGTGCTTCCAAGCTTGGTGATATCGCCATAATGCATGTTGCTTTTTGACTGATAATATTGGCAAGAAGAGGAATATCCAAAAACTGTAAAATCAATTCCACTACCCAATGGAGCTTTGAGAAAGTATAAATAAACTAAATTCAAACTTGACCCATTTTCTTTTTCACAGTGGTTGATGTGGACACAAAAAGACGTTAGCTGAAATTTATTTTTTATTTTTTCCCCTTTTCCTACTTACAGGTAGGAAATTACCTAAAGTAGGAGGCCCCCAAAAAGTCAAACACAACTCACAGCATGTGCTAAACTTAAATCGATGAGAATTGGCTCCCGATGTGTGTGTAGACTATTCCTGCTTCCACGTGCTGACCCTGCTATTCCCGTGTAATTATCTGTGAATTTTGATGGGTGCCAGGTCTGTGGATGCTCAGAGACAAGGGAATTTAGACGTAGAAGTGCTCATCCCACTCAGCACAGCTTGACTCTGCTACCTGCTGGAGGGAGTCACAGATGGCCAGAAAGGAGTTCTTGACAGGAATTGAGAATCTCATTCAAATTCGCATCTGAGCAAACCCGAGGCTGCTGCATAGCTACCTGTCATCTGAATGTCTCTTGTGGTGTGTGAGGCCCTGGGGTCCCAGGATGCCCAGGAGCAGGGGAGAGTGTAAGGGAGGTCTGGCACAGCAGTAGGAAGGAGCTATAGGATGTATGAGCAAATTGTTTTTTCTTCTCTCTTTTTCATTGCGCTCCCAGTTGCCAGGACCTTCGGATGGAGATTTCCGTTCTCCAGGAGCAGATCTCTCACCTGCAGCTTGTGATCCACTCCCAGCATCAGAGCCTGCGCAGCGTCATCCAGGAGGTCAGAGCCGTCAAGTGTGTAACGTTAGAGGCGAATCTGACCTTTAGAAGCGATGGGATTTTTCTCCCCACTGGCCTATCTTTTCTGTTTCTCAAGCAACATAGCTCTGTTTTCAATGTCCCCTCTCACCTCTGACGCCAACACCCGTAATGTTCTCAGTGAAGATGCTTAACTGGTTTTTGAAAAAAGTGTCAGTGATTTTTTAAAAAATTGTTCAGAACCAGATTATGTTCTTTGCTCTCAAGAAGATTTTATAGATCAGGAGATTCAACCTTTTCTTGAGCAAGAAATGATCTGTTTTTATAACCTCACGAACAGCAAATTTATTAAAGAGATGTTTTAGGGTGAGGTATAGTCTCTGGGAATATCCTGGCAAGTGAAAAAAAAGAGGTGATTGAGGGAGCCGCCAAGGAAATCAGTATTTAAGATCTACTCAAGATAAGTATTGATCTCATATGGGGGGTGGCTTTAAACTCAAAATCAGACTTCTGTTTTATTTGGGGGCCTTACATGCTCTCATTTTACAGATGAAAAACCTGAGTCCTGGAGCGGGTTGGTGGCAGAGCTGGTGGGGCACAGTCGGTCTTAGAATCCATGGGGGCCTCTCTTCCTGCTCCTCTTTGCATCTCATCACCCGCCTCCCAGGTTGGCATTGCCTCCTGGCAGAACAGGCTCCCCTGCTGCTGCTGCTGGTGGGGGGATCTCTGCCTCACAGGGCCTCTGCACACCAGCTTTAGATCACGCCCACCAGCCTCTACATCGTCGGGATGAGAGAGCGTTAAGGTGCCGGGTCACCGAAGGGCAGCCAGGACACATGCCTGCTGAATTTGTTTTCAACAGGTTATGCAAAGATTCTCGTGTCTAACGGCGCCCTCTGAGGCCTGCGTCCCAGGTGCCCGTCGGGCCTGCTCCTTTCTGCAGCCCGCTGAGTCTGCTAGTGCTTTAGCATTTTCTTTTTTTAATGCGAGGAACATCAATTGTATGTTTCCATCTGTACGATTTCTGACTTACGTAACCGTTCCCTGTGGTCTGACAAGAGGTTTCCAATTGTGCTTTCTGATTCTTAGATGGAAGGATTAAAAAATAATTTGAAAGAACAAGATAAAAGAATTGAAAATCTCAAGGAAAAAGTTAACGTCCTTGAAGCACAGGTAGGGAGAAATCCATTCTGCATTTTAGTGGGAATGTATGTGTTTAACTGTGCGGGAGGGGATTGGGGAGCCTGTCTGAGTGTGGTTGTGTGTCCTTGTGTGCTGGGTGACACTGCAAATGTGTCTGCCTGGGCCTGCGCATAGGGGTCTGTGTGTGTGACTGGGTCTAAGTGTATGTGCACGTGTCTCTGTGTAGGTCTAAGTGTCTTTTTGTGAGTATGTGTATGCACACGAAATTGCAGCTAGAGAGAGAAGTATCTACAATAATTGTTCAATTATTATTGAGTATTTTAAAAGTTTTATTAGTTATTAATAATATTAACATTAACTATTAAGGAAATATTATTAAATCATCGTTAAACATTCATCCACATTTTCTGGAACACTTGCTGTGTTGGAGACATGGTTGAGGACCTCTTTCAACATGGACTTGAATTAGAAGCTTGGTCAAGGCCACTCTTGTGTCAGTTCTGCTCCAGCCAGATGGTCAGGCTCCGTGTCTCCTGCCTTTGTTCCCAGGCTGTTTCTTTCCTGGCCTGGGGCTGTCCCTCTTCCTCTTCTTTCCTCTTCCCTCCAGCTTCCAGGCTTTGCCTCTGGGTTGCCCACTTCCAGAAGCCTGTTGGGTTGTCTTGCTTTTTGGTGTTTTAATCCTTCATATAACACATTCAGTTTCCTGAGATAAGATGCCCTTTTCTTCCTGCCCACTCACTCTCCCCTTCTCCTCTTCTGGCTTCCCTCTCACCAGGATAACCAGGTGGGCACTGCCACTGCATCCCTGTCACCCCAGCCATGGCCACACTGTTCTTTCTGCTTTCCCCAGTGGAAGATTTAAACACCATAATGACATAAAGAGGTTGTATATATGTGTGTGTGTGTGTGTGTATATATATATATATATTTTTTTTTTTTTTTTTTTGAGATAGAGTCTCACT